TTTATTAGATTTAGGAATGAGATACGTTTCTGATCTTGTACTTATGTCTAAACAACGTTGTTTTAGGGTTTAAATTCCGAAAAAAAAATAAAAATAAAAAAAGGAATAAAGAGAACCGTGTACATGAAATGGAAAATTATGAAGACATGCATAAACACATTCTCCTTTCGAAAATTAATAAGAAAGTATATACAGACTTTGACTTCGATACCTACATAGTTGTTCTTAAAAAGGATCAACGCTTGATATGGAAGATTATGTAGACATGCATGACCACATTCTTATACCATTCATACAAATTTATGATTCTTTTACTTTTTTTAATAAAAAAAAAATTCTCATAGTGCTGAAAGGGAAAGTTATGACAAGGTATTTTAGAACGCCGATAGTTCCTTTCATTGAAATTCAGGCAAGGCTCACAAGAAGCTTTACCACTCCTATGTTGTTCCTCCCCTCCTTCTTCTTGGCCTCCATGGATATCTCTCTGGAGATTGTTGAAGTAGGGTTTTTCATAGTGCTATTGACGTGGGTTTTGCTAGATGTTATGGGACGAAGAAGAGATGGCAGCAGTTTGATGCATAGAGCAGACAGAGGATGTGAAGTTTTTGCTTTGGTTACCATCTTTTCAAATGCCTTAATCTCAATTTTCTACCTGGTTTTTGGCTTTTATGAGTATTGGGGTGGTGGTAGAATTGTAAGTTGTAAATCAATCTTCTCTGGCATGACTTGGATTTTAGCCACCGTAGTTACACTCTACGCCATGAACAGAACTTACAGTGAGCAGAATAGGTGGCCTTGGGTCCTCGTTATTTGGTGGATCTTTTCCTGCAGTGTTTACGTACTTTATGCGTGCCTTTACCTCATCACTCGCTTCATATCCATAGATTTGCCACATATTCTTCTGAAGGCTAACATAGTCGATTTTGCTTCCTTTCCTTTGTCGATACTCCTTTGCTTTAATGCTTTTAGCTATGCTGCGCAGAAAAATAATGACCTTAAGCAACCATTACTTGAGAAGGAAGATGAAGCTCCACCCGAACACACTGATACTTACACGAATGCTGGAATTTGGAGTAAGGCTACATTTCAATGGCTGAACCCACTTTTCAGAAGGGGTCGAATCCAGAAACTAGAATTACCTCATATACCATATGTTCCTCCCTCAGAAAGAGCAAAAAATGCTTCCTCTGTGCTTGATGAATCACTTGGGAAACAGAACATGAAAGACTCTTCATTGTCGAAAGCCATAATGCGGGCTATAGGAAAATCATTAGCTACAAATGCTGTTTTTGCAGGTAACTCTCTGTTTTTGAATCAGTATTCTTTCTCCTTTGTATTTTCATTCTTGTTCTGCAGGTTTTTATATGCTTTGATTCAATTTTTTTACAGGAGTCAATACGGCTTCATCATATGTTGGTCCATTCCTAATTACAAATTTTGTGAATTATTTACTTGAGAAACATGACAATTCAAGCATCCACCATGGACTGATTCTTGCGTTCACATTCTTCATTGCTAACACATTGGAATCATTGAGTCAGAGACAGTGGTACTTTGGTGCTCAAGTAATTGGTGTACGAGTACGAGCAGCTCTCACTTTGTTGATTTACCAGAAATCTATCTCCATCAAGTATTCTTGTCCAAGTAATGGTAAAATTGTTAATCTAATCAATGTGGATGTAGAAAGAATTGGAGACTTCTGCTGGTACAGTCATGGTGTTTGGTTGCTCCCGGTTCAGGTGTTTTTGGCCTTGGCTATCCTTTACAGGAATCTTGGTGCGGCCCCCTCTGCTGCTGCTCTTCTTTCCACAATTTTGATCATGGTATGCAACACACCTTTGGCCAAAAGGCAAAAACGGCTTCACTCCAAGATCATGGAAGAGAAGGATTCAAGAATCAAGGTAACATCAGAGATTCTAAAGAACATCAGAGTTTTAAAGTTGCACTCATGGGAGCCTACATTCTTGAAGAAGCTGCTTCAACACAGGGAAACTGAGAGGAATTGGCTGAAGAGATACCTTTATACAAACTCAGCAGTGGTCTTTCTCTTCTGGGCTTCACCAACTCTAGTCTCAGTTACCACTTTTGGTGTATGCATAATACTAAACACACCCTTAACAATAGGTAAGGTATTGTCTACTTTAGCTACGTTCAGAATTCTAGGAGAGCCTATCTACAACTTCCCAGAGCTCATTTCCATGATTACTCAGACAAAGGTATCCATTGATCGTATCCAAGAGTTTGTCAAAGAAGATCAAATGAAGCTGATACCTTCCCATGATTCAGAAGTATCCAATGTCACGGTTGTTCTTGAGCCAGGAGAGTATGCATGGAAAACAAGTGAGCAAGACTTAAAGACACCTACAATCAAAATAACGGAGGAGATAAAGATTGTGAAAGGATCCAAGGTTGCAGTTTGTGGCTCTGTTGGTTCTGGGAAGTCAAGCCTACTACTCAGTATACTTGGTGAGATTCCCAAAATTTCTGGGGCAGGAGCAAAGGTTTATGGAACAAAAGCTTATGTTTCACAAAGTGCTTGGATTCAAACTGGAACAATAAGGGAGAATGTGTTGTTTGGCAAGGAAATGAATAGGGGCTTTTATGAGGAAGTTTTGGAAGTTTGTGCTTTGGACCAGGATGTCAATACGTGGGCAGATGGGGATTTGACTGTAGTGGGGGAGAGAGGGATGACTCTAAGTGGGGGAGAAAAGCAAAGAGTTCAACTTGCAAGAGCTGTCTATAGTGATTCAGATGTTTATATTTTCGACGATCCTTTCAGTGCTGTTGATGCACATACAGGAACACACTTGTTTAAGGCAAGCCAAATTTCTTATAATTATAGCTATATTTATGTTCAAGAACAGGATTTAATCAGAAATTAGAATGTTTTGCAGAAATGTCTCTTGCAACACTTGTCCATGAAGACTGTCATCTATGCTACCCACCAATTAGAATTCTTACAAGCAGCAGACCTTGTCTTGGTACGTTATTGGTTTTCTTTTGCTGCTCTACTCAGATACTATTTCTAACATGTTTTGTCAAGTCTCTTATTTCTCTCCTTCCAATTCAATTGTTGATAGGTAATTAAAGATGGCGAAATTGCTGAGTCTGGAAAATATGAGGATTTGATTGCGAATCCCAACGGTGAACTTGTCAGACAAATGTCTGCACATAAAAAATCATTTGACCAAGTTAACACATGCCAACAAGATAACAGAAGACCTCATCAAGTTAACCTAATAAAGGTTTCAGATGAAAAAGTGGCTATCAACAATGGGAAACTTTCAGAAAAAAGTCACGAAGAAGAAGCAGAAACTGGTCGAGTGAAATGGCATGTTTACTCAACCTTTGTAACTTCTGCTTATAGAGGTGCTCTTGTCCCAGTCATCCTTGTCTGTCAAGTACTCTTCCAGGGACTACAAATGGGCAGCAATTACTGGATGGCTTGGGGAACAGAGAGAGAAGACAGGGTCAGCAAAGAGAGGTTAATGTGGGTGTTTGCTCTGTTATCTGCTGGGAGTTCCATCTTCATTTTAGGAAGGGCAGTTTTTCTGGCAACTATTGCTCTTCAGACTGCTCAGCGTCTCTTCCTTGGAATGATTACTAAAGTTTTCCGAGCACCAGTTTCATTTTTCGACTCCACACCTTCTAGTCGAATCCTTAGTAGGGTGAGTTCTAAATTTCTTTCCTGTTTGAAAGTTTAATAGACTCTACTCTTTGAAGTATATATCAAGTTCTAACTCTTATTTTCCTTTCCAAAAACATATTCATTGTTACAGTGTTCTACGGATCAAAGCACAGTAGACACGGACATTCCGTATAGATTAGCTGGATTGGTATTTGCCCTCATCCAGCTAATAAGCATCATCATCCTTATGTCTCAAGTGGCCTGGCAAGTCTTCATTCTTTGCCTTGGCGTTCTTGCACTCTCCGTGTGGTATCAAGTAAGAGAAACCCCATTTTGAATTTATTTTTCCAGGTTTCAACATTTTGATTGTAACCAAACTCCTACCTACAAGGAAAATCTTAACCATATTTCCCTACGTGTAAAATATTTTTGTTTCCTGGAGCTTATATTCAAGTACTTTGGTGCACAGGCTTATTACATTACCACTGCTAGAGAACTCGCCAGGATGGTTGGAATTCGAAAGGCTCCAATTATACATCACTTTTCAGAATCAATCGCAGGTGCAGCAACAATTCGTTGTTTCGATCAAGAAGACCGTTTTATGATGAAAACAATGGACCTGATTGATGATTATTCCCGCGTAGTCTTTCACAATTATGCCACGATGGAATGGCTGTCTGTTCGGACCAATTTTCTGTTCAACTTTGTTTACTTCATTCTTCTTATCATCTTGGTCAGCCTGCCTAGGTCTGCCATTGATCCTAGTAAGCCCCTCCAATCCCTGATGAAATATGAGGAAATATTAACACCATAAGCTTTGAAAGTTAACTGTCAATGTTGCTTCCATCTCAGGTTTGGCAGGTTTGGCTGCTACCTATGGTTTGAACCTAAATGTCCTGCAAGCTTGGGTGATATGGAATACATGCAATGTAGAAAACAAAATGATATCAGTGGAGAGAATTCTTCAGTTCACAAAGATACCAATTGAAGCACCACTAGTGATTGAAGACAGTAGACCAGTTCCTGAATGGCCAATGGCAGGAAATATTGAAATAAAAAACCTTCGTGTGCAATATAACCCAGCTCTCCCAACTGTTCTCAAAGGGATCACTTGCACCTTCTCCGGAGGGAAGAAAATAGGAGTTGTGGGCAGGACAGGGAGTGGAAAGTCCACTTTGATCCAAGCGCTCTTCAGGATAGTGGAACCCTCAGGAGGGCAGATTCTTATTGATGGTATTGATATTTCTAAGATAGGTCTGCAGGACTTAAGGTCAAGGTTGAGCATTATTCCACAAGACCCAACTTTATTTCAAGGAACCATGAGGACCAATCTGGATCCTTCACAACAACATTCAGATCAAGAACTTTGGGAGGTTAGGGTCAAAGTCTTTATTTACAAGAATGATATATATTGTGGTATTGTTACTTATATAATTCAATAAGACAGGTTCTGAATCAATGTCGACTGGCGGAGATCATTAGGCAGGACCAAAGGCTTCTTGATACACCTGGTATGGAGATCTAATAATCTACTAAATCATATGAACAACCAAAGCAGTTCAGTTTTTATATTTTAATTCGTTCAAACACTGAACAGTTGCTGAAGATGGAGAAAACTGGAGTGTTGGACAGAGGCAGCTTATTTGCCTGGGCCGAGTGCTTTTAAAGAAAAGGAAAATTCTTGTCTTGGATGAGGCTACAGCTTCTATTGATACAGCAACAGATATTCTAATTCAGCAGACAATAAGAAAAGAAACGAGTGGATGCACTGTGATCACTGTGGCTCACCGGATTCCTACGGTTATCGAAAATGACCTGGTTTTAGTTCTTGATGAAGGTACTGTTAGTATAACCTGCTCTGTAGATATGTTCCAAAATGTATAGAAACCTGGTCAGAAATATGATTTACGGATGAATGAAAAACATAATATTGATTAGGTGACATGATTTAAACTGATTTTATTAACTCTTTGATTCATACAGGCAGGGTTTCAGAGTATGATTCTCCTGCTCGGTTACTTGAGGATAGTTCATCTGCATTCTCCAAATTGGTTGAGGAATTCTTGGGGAGATCTTCCATGAGCAAGGGGCTATAGAGATCCGTCTTGAATATTTTGTATAGACCTAGCAAAGGTGCCCGCATGATGCTGCGGGTTTTAAAACCGTCTTATATGTGTATAAAGTTATGAAAATATGTAGCAAGTTTAAGTTACAAAATAAAGACTAATAACATGTTTTATATGTTGTTTGTCATCTTAAAATATTGATCATATTTTGGAAAAACTGAAAATCCATAACAAAAAATATATGATAAGCATCTTTCAAAATAGAAACATAACATAGTGGATGAAACAATGAGGAAATTACCCAAGAATGCCTAGGAATGATGTTCTCGACCACATATCCAAGATTAATTTGTCGCGAATAACAATCTAATGGTAGAAGATTAAAATGCAAAAAAAATTACCAAATGAATCAACCTAAGCTGATGAGAAGTGAATCCACTCAGACTAAGATCAGGACGCATCTTAAAGAAAATGATTCATAACTGTTGTCGGGAGTCATTTGAGTTTCCTTGAAATTGGAGTTTCCCATTACTATTTCTCAAAAACCTAGCATGGCCCACTAATATTCGAGCTCATGCCGTGCTAGGCCGGCCCGTCTAGTTTGACACCTCTAGTTCGAAGAAAGAAGATGCCAAAGCACATTCATCTGACACCTCTAGTTCAAAGAAAAACACTGTAAAAGCACAGGAAGAGGGCTGTTTAAATGATCCTAGATGCATTTGAAACAAAGAGTATATGATCAAAAGTTATCTATGCAAAAGTCACCCTAAACAATCAAGATTTTTTTTATATTTTTCAATTCCATTTTTCTGCTTTTCCCTTTTTTCCCTTTAAACAGATATCAAAATTTCATACTCTAATTCAACAATTGAGTTTTCTCAAAGTCTCTTCTAACAATCTAAAGATCAAGCTTCAAATTTGTAGTAAACATGTATGTCTGAAAATCAACCCAAAACATCAATCAAATGAAACCAAAGGCAGTTTATAACCACTCCATGTCCTTTTTCATGTTAAAAAAGCTCCCTCAAAAAATAAGAAAAGAAAAAAGCTTCAGCACACGAAAAGGCATTAATATATAATCAAAAGCAATATCATGTTGTTATCACTCTTATCAACAATCAACAACCTCTCCAAACACATCATATCTTCCATAAACTTAAAAGGAAAAAGTCAAAAATATTAATATGTATCTAAGCACGATATAATATTTAGACCTGCATTCTTGGGTAAAGATCTCCAAGAGCCTTCTCCATGAAGTTGAATGCAGATCTACAATCGCCTTGTATTTGATTGGCTCCTGACCTGTAAAATTGTTGGTCATCTTTTTGAATGAGGGATCATAGTTTCAATCTGAACTTTTTGCCAAAAGTAAAAAAGGGAAGAATTTCAAAAACTAATGACAGGTCTCATTCATAATCTCCATCCTTACTTAATAAATTAAAAAATGCATATGCAGAGGGTTCCTATATTAATTACTCCAGTTGGATGAGACTGTTCATAAAAAATAAAAAATATGATAAAGCAAAACAAAAATTAAGCAGCATTAAGAAGAGAAAAGATAGTATATTTTTACTCTACACACAAATATATTGGCATTTTTTCATGTCAGAATGAACAAAAGCTAGTATATTTTTACTCTACAGACAATTCTCTGAACACGCAACCTTCTGATCTTGCTACATCTCTTGCCAATCATTCTGGCTACATCTCTTAGAATTATAGTTCTAATCTGGAGTCATAAAAAATAAATAAAATAAAATAAAAAAGGAGGAGTCTATAACCACTCGCAAACAGAAAATCAGCCACACAGACATCAATTACCAGATTGATGAGCAGACTGGGGGTTCTCATATGGATTACTCCAGTTCTTTTTCCTTAGATCTTCGTCCCTGTAAGAACAAACGAAACTCAATTTCTGATTGACTTCTCAATTTTCGACATGACAAATGAATAAACCAACCTAGAAAACCAAAAGAACGTGAAAGCCAACCTTTTTTTACGAAACCTAGAAATCCCTTTGAGCTAAACCCGTGCGATGAGAAGAAGGATGAAGCGCAGCTGGAACGGCAACACTCGAACGCAACATCTGAGAGGAAAACCAATGAGATGAAGACCAAAAGGGCAGCTGGATTCGCAGGGCGCCTCCCTACACGAAAATCGACGGCTCCCCACGCATGTAGAACAGTGAACGCTGATGGCTGCCCCCCAACCAGCCCGACCAGCTGGTTCGAAATGGACTGGAAATCTCTGAGCGAACGAAACGTTGCAACGAAAGAGATGCGAATGGGAAGGGGAAAAAAGGGAAGAGCGGAAAAGGTTTAGTGGAGGGCATTTTCGCCAATTCACTGTGTTCAGAATAAAACAAATAAGGCTTTGTAACAGTGAATCGGGGTCTTTTCTGTCATTTGACTGTTCAAGGAACAGTACTTATGAATAGTATCTGGTTGCATTGGGCTTTAGTATATATATAATGTGCATGAACCTCAATTGTTGGGTCCAATTATCACCATGTTCTTGGTGGGTCCAATTAAATTTTGTAAAGCAATTTTTTTTTTTTGGACGAAAAGATGCCTTCATAATCAGCGGAGAAACCGCAAACAGAACAACATCAACAGAGGGCCAAATCCACAAAGGGAACTGGATGGTGCCCCAACAAACACTAGCAAACAACGTTTTCCATTGCTGATGGTGCCACAAAGGGAACTGGATGGTGTCCCACTAATGTAGCATTTCCAAGGTTTTTTAAAATTTATAGGGTATTGCTCTGTCTTCGATTTTCCATTGAAAAGTGAAGCATATTTGGCAAACCTCTTAGAATGGTGTTTTGTGTGAGGCATGATCTTAAACAGCTAACTTATACCATAAAGTGTAGAGTTCCTTGGCATTGCAGAGTTGCTTTTTATTCAAACTTTAGAAATACATAAAATTCTTATCTCAAAAGAAGAGAAAAACCAGTAAAAACATCAAATAAATCCTAAGAAACTAAAGAGAAGATCTCCTTGTTACAGGTCCAAATACACATGGGTTTAAAGAAGCAAAAGCAAGAAGTTCCGGGTCACGTTCGAATAAGGCCATGTCTTCCTCACTTAAACTTACCAATGCATCTACTCCATCACCCTCCTTTGTGTCAATCAAAAGAACAAGATTCTGGACTACACCAATTGGGATGTTCACCCAAATTGGCTTTCCCCACCCAAAATCAATCTCATATATTCCAAAGTTGCATAGACTTGTAAAGGTAAACAAGTTTATGTCATCTCTTCCCATAATGTTTCCTATCTCCTTAAAATACTCACATATAGCTTCAAACACATTGTCCCCTTGCAATCTCTTGGGGTGGTTTTCATTAAATTCAACCATCCCCTTCCTCAGTCGAGAAACCAATTCCATCGAGTTCAACTCTATTCCACTCACCTCTGCCATTGCAGTGTAGTACCCCACAAGGTTTCCAATTGATAGTTTTGACGCCTTCCTTGCACAATTCCAAATGAGGCCTGTTACCGCTTCAACTCTTGTAGGTCTCTGCACACTTCCACTAGTGACTTTAGCTTTAAGAGCTCTCATCTTTGGACCATCAAACACAAATCTCTTTGTGACACACTTGACTATCTTCATCTCCACGGCAGCTGCAGGACTCTGCGCTGAGAAATCTCCAGGCGGGTATCGGGTTGCTGCGCTGAAATCTGGTACCACAGTGTGACCAAGGCCAAGAGCTGTGGCAGCCCAAACTTTGATGAATGTGCTCAAAGTTGATGCATCAGCAAGCTTGTGTGACATGCACACACCTATGGCCAATCCTCCACACTCAAAGAAACTGGCTTGAACAAGCAGTAGGGACCCTGTGCCTGCTTCAGGGGATTCAACCTTAATAGGAAGCAGCAATTTTAGTATTTCCAAGTTGGGTTGATCGAGGAAGTTCGACAGAAGGGCGTTGACTCGAGCTTCAACATAGACAGCCCCCTCATCATTACATTCAATAAACAGGTTATCTTTGATTCTTCCAGCAAGTGGATAGAAGCGAGTTAAGGCCTCTGAGAGTGATTTCTTTAGCTGATGCGACCTTTCCTCTGTTAATGTAACCTCACTGACATTGCTGGGGTAGAAAAGAACCATAGGACCATATACTACAGGAACAAGCTGATCTAAAAGAGAGAGCTTATGAAAGCAGATAAGGCCTCAACGCGTGAGGGTCCTTTTTCGTTTTCCAAACTCAAAACTCGGGAGTTAAAACCTGAACTGTCCTCCCTTTTATATTTGGTTTTGAGACTCTCTATCTTAGAGGCATCAAACACAAACCTCTTTGTTACTCTGTTCTTTGTGATGCCAATGCCTGCATCATATCCAATATTGAACTCCTTTGGAGGGAAGAGTGCTGCTGAAACAAACTCTGGATGTTCTATTCGGGGTTGATCTCCCAGGGCTGTGGCAGCCCAAGTTTTACTGAACATGAAATGAGACAATCCATCTGCAATCTTGTGAGAAATGCATTGACCAATAGCAAATCCTCCGCATTCAAATATGTTGAGCTGAACCCCTAGAGCAAGTTCATTGGCAACATCATCTAGCTCCAATGGGATGAACTTCTTGAGTTCATCAGGAATTGGATTGTAGAGAAAATCAGAAAGTGAGCACTTGACTTGTGCTTCAACATAGGGAACGCCCTCATCATTGCAATCAACAAAATGGTTTTGTTTGAAGACTCGACCGGCTAGCGGGTAGAAAAGGGTTAAGACGTCGGCCAAGGACTTTTTGAGATGGCTGGATATTTCAGTGATTTTGGGCTGTGTCTCGCCATTGAATTCATAAAAGAGGACAAAAGGGTTATAGACTGGGGGAGCTAGTTGATCAAGAAAAGAGAGCTGCAAATAGCGAAGATGGTCAGGGGTTGGAGATGATGGCTTGATAATCTCCTTGGAGATCACTTCAACTTCAACCTTCATCTTAATTCTCTCTCTCCTATTTGATCAGAATTTGTTTTGATTGTGCAGTGCAGGGAAGGAAGTAATTTTTGAAAAGAAAGACGGAGGTAGTTTGTTCAATTATTATTAGGAGGTCAAAGTTCGACTGCTGTAAATTGTGTGGTGTTGAAGGGCTGGAAAGTGGAAACTTATCATTTGTATATATTAACGTGCAAAGTCTAGGCATTTTCATATATAATATAATAGCAGGGGAAGGTTTATATATAGACATATTAGCATTCAAAGTCAAAGTTGTCCTACTTTCAACCCAAAAGAAAAGTCTTACATTAACATTAAGAAACAGTAATGCAGCAACACTATCTTAAAATTATATTTTATTATATCAACTCTTTAAATAAATAACTAAAAATTTATTGGATCAGCCAAATTTATTGTTACACCCCTAATTGTTTTGTACCAACTTGAGATTTCATAACATGTATGGTCAGTTGAAATAGTACAAATCAAAATATAAAAAACGAATATTTCATGAGCCTCTTTGGTGTCGACCTAAAATAGAAGGGTCTTGAAGGTCCCTCTCATGCGGGTCTCTCCCCAACCAAAATCATTATAATACAGAGGAAATCTGCAATAACTATAATTATCCGTTTGGATGAACGAATTGCAAATTATATAGAATTTTAAAATAACGGAATTTAGATTTCCGTCATTTCAATTTCTGGCAATTGAAGATTTCAGTGTTTGGATTTATGTATGTCGAATTTTGTAATTGATAGAAATTGAAAATTTCAATGTTTGGATAGCTCATTTAAATTGTAAATGATAGAAATTAAATATTTCGAAAGAACAAAAAAACTGATAACTAACATAGAAGGTATTCCTCGAAGTATAAAATAACATATCGTTTGATGAACTAAATAACTCAACTTAAACAAACAGAGCATATTAGCAAACCAAATCACTCCCCACGTGTAATAAACATCGACAACATACTCTCTTTTTTCTTAATTGGGAGTGCCTTCAGCATATGAAATTGTTTGTCATTTTCAATCAGCCAAGCACATGCTTGTTCATTTTCACTAAGACCTGGTATTGCTTGTACTTCAGCATATACCTCTGCTGGATCAAGTTTCTTAGAATCAGCACGGATAAACTCTTCAAATGATAAAGCAATCGAATCAGTAATAACATCTTTTACAACACCTCTTTTATCTGTAGGAAGGAATATCAAAAGAATTTGATGCACTATTTCTTCTCTTTTGACCATTTGTTGAGGTTGGTGAAATATCATCAATAACATGAATATCTTCTTCATCTTGTGTATCACCATTCAAATCAACATTATCAACTTCATTAGTAGGAGTCATAATCTCAGTTGCATCTGCACCTATTTCAGCGCTCTCTCTAGTGGCTCTATCTTTGCCACACAAATCTACTATATCATCCCAATTTTCTTTAACTTTAAATCAAAAACCTCTAACATCGTCATGAGACTACCAAACAAATAATCAAAGTCAAATAAGAATGAGAGAAGACCAAAATCGATTTTCAGCAGCATATAACAATCAACAAAGCTTTTCGTTTCCTTACATAGTATATAAAAAGCTTTTCAGCAACATAGACTTTTTCTTCAGAGTAAGGAAATGAAGGGTAAAACTTGAACAATGTGATAACACAAAGCGATAAAGCTAGCGAACAACTACAGAGCATATTCATAAATTTAGTCAGAAACACCCAATTTTGATAGCCATTTAGAAACCGTGGTAACCCTGAAATAGAAAAACATAAATTGAAGGAGAGAAAGGCTTGAAGACTAACCTACAAATTTGATCCAGAGAAACGTGTACTCTTTTTTTTTATTAATGAAAAGTTGGGCGGTTTTTTTTTATGTAAGTTTGGGCACACTGGAAAATATAAATTCTCGCACTATGGAAATTGTGAAATGACGCCTATTTTGGTGGAAATTAAACTCGGGAATTTGATGCCTCAATTTCCACGATTTTTTCCGCGCGTCATTTAATAAATTCCGCGCTTAAGTTGCCAAACAAGGGAATTGTCAATTTCTCCTCTTAAATTCCCGACTTTTAGCTAAATTCCGAGTTATTTTCCCTCATCCAAACGGAGGGTAATGTAACCACCTCTCCTTCGGTAAAACTACAAGCAAAATTTGTTGATGAAACTAGAAGTGACTATTTGATCAAGTAATAACAGTACTTTGTCGAATTAATACCAACATAGGGAAATTAATTCTCTTAATTTTGCGCTCGAATTAATTGGAGATGCATAGGCAACGAACTCTTTCAAATTTAGCCATGACTTCCTCCTCCAAGTTAAGAGCATCCGCAATGGT